TTTCAGTTAATATTGTTTTATTATTGCACCTCAATCAAGGGAGATTGGTTTAAGAATTAATGTTACTGGCTTTTTAAAATACATTTGGCTTCTAGCCTATTGATTTGTTAGAAGGCTTCCAAAGTATTTTGCTAAATTTAGTTCAATGTAGGATTTTATCTTTTATCAGTGGTTAATCATATTCATTTGTGAAAGATTTCTTTGCCTTTTCTGTCAGCTCTGCAGTTATTCTGAGTTCTATGAAAAACATATCCTAGCTTAGAAATTTAAAGTTGCAGTTTTCTGCATACAATAAAGTCTGCAGTCATATAGACTAGAATTAAATAATTATTTTAATTTTGTAATTTGACCTGTTTTGAACAAAATTATCAAATTTTTTAGAGGTAAAGAGGTGTCTAGTTAGTTAAATGGAGAATTTTCACAAAACACTTTAGCATGGTTAAATGAAGATAGTCGGTTCGATTTAATTTGAGAAGAGGCTGTTTGTTTTTTAAAAAGAATCTCAATATTTATGAGAAATCATTCTCTGTTTTTGTATGAAGTTGCATTTAGTTTACTTTGAGCCCATCTACAGTGTGTTAATTTGAAAATGCCTGTAAGATTGTATAAGGGTTCTTGCCCTATAATCTAATGAATGAGAAGTAAAATGCTTGTTTGCTTTTTAGTATTGAGAGACTGCAAAAGATACTTGTTTCCTACAAAAAGGGAGGTTTAAAACATAAGTACTTGTTGATTAGGACATCCAAAAGTAGTAATTTACAGAGACAAACAATTTGTCATTTCCTATATTTTCCCCATAAGTTGATTTTATGTTGTAAAACTTGATCCTTCTGTTTTTGAATACTATATTATTTTTTAATTTAATTTATTTGTGGTGAACTGAAATGGCAGTTCTTCTGGTGGGTTTTATTCTGCAGTCTTTATACAGACAAAGTTTCTGTTTGTGTCCATGGGAGTTTGAACAATTGAGATGGAAGACAAGATTACGTAATAAATATATTTTTTAAGTTCCATACAAAACTATTTAAAGAATGATAAAGTTACAAAGTCAAACACTCAGAAGTTGCCTGTGCAATGTTAATGTGGTGAATATGCAATATGACTCTGTTGCCCAGCTTCACATAGGAAGTCTGTGATCAAGCCACAATACATGAGGATGTCCTTTTGTGTTCTTGCAACTCATTGCCTTGTTCTCTGTCTATCCTGTGGACTGAAAGAAGCCGATATCCTGAAAAAATAATACATGATCATGTAATTAAAAATGGTACCATGGTATAAATGTACAATCAGGTCAAATTAAGGTTTCATAGACCTGATTATCATCAAATAATTCCAGATGTGAATGATTAATGGCCTGCTTCTGATTCTGCACTACTACGTGAATGAGCTCAAATAGCAACCACTGCTTGCAGTTGCATGGATTGGAGGGGGCAAATTTCCTCCCCCGGCTTCCATAGAATTCTCTTGTGCTTAAGTTACTCATAATAGGCTTGGGAACCAGGATTGAACTCTAAAAGAATAAACACACAGTCTCATGATGTGTCTCTTTACAGTCACATTTATGATTATAAGTGCACTTCCTGATGATCAAATATAAGCTTTAATTTTGTAAAGGGATGTATTATTTTATGTACTACGCTAGTACACTTTGACCTCTGCTAAAATACTGTCATCATCACTTCCCCATGCTCTGACCGCAGTACTTCACACCTTGCTTCCTTCTTTAGTTTAGTGTCCCTTTTTAAGCACATCAGATTCAAGTTCCTTGACCTTCGAAGTTTTTTTACAAAATGTTGTCACCACCTACATCTGCTTTCAGTTCTCACTGACTCTCCTCCCATACCTTTCTCCTCATGTTTTCCTTATCCCAGAGCTTGACTGTATGACAAGCCAGGGTCCGATTCAGCTATGCAGTAGTTTGCCACATATTAACTCACTGTGTGGACCCTGCTACCCTGCACTAAAAATTACATAATGTGCTTTGACATACTGCTGTTTGAAACTGGACTACACCATTGCCCTAGGGATGTGCATCAGCAGGGTCTGTATGGACACTTTGTGCATGACACACTGGCATGCACTAGAATGTATGCCCCAGCTGGTATACACAAACAACACATGTGGACTGGGTTTGTAACTTGGAAAGAGGAGGGGAGACCATTTACAGGAGTTGCCCAGGACGCAAACACATCACAACCATAGATAAAGGTACCCTTCAGATCACCCTTATACATTGGACCAAGTGTCCTCAGGATTGATTGGACTGATGCACAGCCGGTTTATAAGGCTGTCTGAAACAATCATATCTTTCACTATTGTGTAAAGTGGCCTGAAGATATGTAATATACTATGTTTCAGGAATAGTACCAGAAACTACTGGCTGAATTATCGGACCAAACTACTTAATGGTATTTGCGGTTTGGATGGTACTCCTTTTAAGGTGTTGATACATAGCAATAAGTGAGAGTTGGTTTTTTTTGTTTGTTTGTTTTTTTGTTAATCAAGCCTTCATTGTACTTGGATGAGAACAAGCTCATTGAGACTTAATCCAAATAAGTTTGGAGATACTTTTGGATCCCTAATTGTATGGGTGCTTTTGGTGGGCGGGGTGCCTTTTTATTATTTCTTTTTGCTGTGGTGATTGATTGTAACTGTTTCTGACGTGAACTTTTCCAGACTTATCCACTCTTTTGTGGGTTACTACAATGCTGTCTACATGGGGCTCTTGAAAGCCCACTTGGAAACTACAGGTGACACAGAATGCTGTAGAATGCCTGCTTAATGATGAATATTATGTGGAGAATATTATGCCAGTATTTCAGACTATACTGGCTCCCTGACTGCTTCTGGTTGGAAGTCATGGGCACGTATTGATCTTTAAAGCCCCACCAGAGGTACATTGTCTCCCAGCTACTTTGAGAACCTTCTTTTCTCTGTGCATCCTCATGACAATTGAGATCAGCTGATGCATTCTTGCCTTCAATTCCTTGATTTGAACATCTGGCAGATGGAGGCAAGCCATTTTCAACAGAGGTCCCTTTACTTTGGAATTTGTTTCACACTTTGGTCCGACAGAACCTGAGCCTATTTACCTTCAGGAGACAGTTTAAAGCCCATCTGTTCACTTAGGCTTTTCCCTAAGAGTGTGGTGATAGGGTGTGTTTGTTTATAGTTGGAAAATAGAGGTTTTTAAATATGTAGTTGACATTTGTCAACTAATTTATTTTTTTTTTAAAATGTGGCCATTCATGAATACCTTACTTTTATTTAAAAAAAAATAAAAAAAAGTTGCAGGAGTGTTGCTTACCTCTGTAGATGGGAAAGAACTCAGGCAAGAAAATAAAAAGGATTAGGGAAAACAAACATTAATGAACTGCTCTATTAACTAGACTAGAACATAGTGAATCTGTTAAGATTTTCATTCTATCAAACTTAAATGTGATACCCTTTGGAAATGAGAAAAATTTAAGATTCTTTTAAAACACATGCTTACCATCTAAAAAATATTACTAGTACAATACATTACTTTCATTGAAAGTACCTACATTGAATACTTACAATACACTGGATTAATTTATTATGATTTCCCAGTTTCCACATCTTTGTGTTAAACTGTAAAACTTGCCTTTAGTTTTGTTTATTTTGTGTAGTTTCAAGAAATAAGTGTGTGTCTGTGCATGCACGTGTGTGTGTGCACGCGCGCACACTTATTTCCTGAAAATTATATATATTCCATGCAATATTTTTATTTATATATATATATATATAAAAATAAAATAAAATAAAAATATTGCATGGAAACATTTAGACAGATTTTAACCTGATTTTCCTTAAAAAATATAATTTCAACAAACTAGAATATAACTCCTAACAAGAAAGTAATATTTCATTAGAAATGCAAAAGGACTGTTTTGAGTGGGGAATGGTTTACACACTGATACCTTTTGTTGGATGTGGATACTGAATTTGTTTGAGGCATCATGACTTACTATAAATGCTTTGGGCTGATATTTTCATGAAGAAACAGAGACAACATACTATGAAGGTGTTTCAGGAATACATATTAACACTGGAATACGTTCCTTTTTATTTAAGATATTTGAATGAATATTTAAGTAAACTGGAGAATAATGTTAGTGGAAAGTTCAATAGTGTGGCATAAAGGTACCTGTATAAGTGTTTAAATACTGAACAAAGTTTTGCTACGAAAGGTGTTTTCTGTTTTGGAAGAAGGGATAGTTCTTTTAGTATTTTTGAGATAGTTAATGTAGGACACTTATTTCTCTTTGAAAATTTTATGTGCCTAGAAATATGCAGAAGGCTTACAATATATACACTAGAAACAAAGACCCCAATCCTGCAAAACATGCACATGCTTAAATTTAGCACATCAGTAGTCTAGCTAACTTTAACTGGACTGTTCAAGTACTTTAAGTAGGTTTGTATTGCTTAGTTATGTGAAGAAGGCAACAAGATTTGATAGTGGTCAGCATCTTACATGATCAGGCCCCACAAATAAGAGCACTTTTAAATGAATACAAATGGTAAGAAACATCTTAATGCCTTTTAAAGTGCAACATGAAGTGAATACAAATCAAATGTAGTTGTTGTTTTTTTTATGAGTTGATTGAACAGAGAGAGAACACGTGGGAACTAAAATTTTACAAAAGTCATGGGGAACATTTTTGTACAAGAATATTATCAATATTCATGTTGACATATCTGTTCGCGTAGGCTTATTAAAAATATTAAGAAAAAATATAGCAAAATGGTGAAATAAGATAATAAATGAAATGAGCTTTGATACTTCAAATTACTTCCTTTCATTTCCTTATTTCTTTATTAAACTTTATTTTTACAAACCAAAGAACTCTATTCCTTTCTTCATTAAATTAAATCATGCTTTATTTTTCATATAACTTTTGATCACGTAAGGTAGATTGTCTTATAATTTACCTACATGTATTTTTTTAAATGTATTTTCGTCTGTATTTTTAAAGGAAATAGAGAAATTGGGATTAGAGCTGAATGAAAACAAACTGCGTTTGGAACAAGCACAGCAGGATGCAGCAAGAGCCAAAGATGAGTGCCTAAAACTGACAGAACTGCTGGGTAAATCTGAGCACCAACTGTACCTCACCAGGTACCCTTTATCCTATTACATGCCATAGCACCAATTTCATTTTGCTAATTTTTGCCACAGGCTTCCCCACTGTTGTTGCAGATATTCATAATCATTCACCGCATGCATTGCTTTCGGGCATTTTAGAAGAAGCAAAGATGTGGTAAATAAAGCACCCATTTACCTAAATGATGATCTTTCAAAAAGCCAAAATACATTTATTAAGTAAAAAGTCTGTAAGCCCCGAACTGTATAGCATCTATTGGTTTAGAAACTCTAATGCTTCAAATTTATGAATTTAGGGTATTGTGACATAACAATGTAAATACTTACTGATGTCAGTTATGAAGCTATACTTCATCCGAGATTAAACAGTCTACATAATTTAACACTCTAGGAATGTAGGGAGAGATTCAGGACAGATCCATGAGAATAGCATTTCTGTCATTTGCCTCAGTGAAAATAATAAGATTGTGTGACACAAACATGTTTCTGTCACTCTGGGCTCTTTACAGGTTTATTCCATCATTGAACATAAATTACCAATCTACCCTTAATTCTTACTATTAGACCTGTAGAGAAAATTCCAGAGTGGCAATTTTCTGATTATTAATTCCACCTTGAGTTTTGGTAACTGTTAAAATTTCTCTCTTTGCCAAATACACAGCTGCTTCTTTTAATCTTTTGTATCACTTTTATCTGTTGGTAAACATCCAGTGTCAGATCTGAGGCCCTTACTCAGTCCTTAGTTAGACAAAAAGCTCTCATTGGAGTCGATATAAATTTACCTGAATAACAGCCTCAGATTTTGGCTAATTGACAGTGGAGTATTCACACTCCTACTCTAATCCTGCACCCACTGAATTTAGTGAGAATTTTGTCATTGATTTCAATGACAGCAGAATTGGATCCAATGAAAACTTTCTAAATTCATTTAATCAATCTTTTACTCCGCTAAATTTCAGTGATATTCAGAGCACGGTAGTTTAACAGATGGAAGAAAGCACCACCGTAACAGCCTGTATTCAGAGAAAAAAAAATATGCTAGAGGTTGATGAACTTGAAAAAAGTTTTGGGTGAGTTGTTAAGATATCTAAAGTTTGGATTTAGAAGAACTTCCTTAATAATGATTTGTTGTGATAGTTAACCAAATGGTTTAACAAGCTCCGTTTTAGCAAAAGACTGATCATGCATTATAAAGCAGTGTGATATCTTGGAGAAAATCCTAATAACACATTTTTTTGTGAAAATCTTTCTCTCTTAATAATACAGACTAATAACTATAAATTTAACATAGTTCAACACTTAAATGCAGGTGCATAATGTCAAAATGATTCAGGTAGCTATTTAATTACAGACATTTTAGAATCTGACTTAGTGTATACAATATGGCCTTTTATTGATAAAATAAAAAGTATGCTTATGTTGATTTAGTATATAGTTCTAACTTCATTATAAAAAGTGAGATATAGGGGCCAAATCTTCCCCTTAAGTCACCAAATTATATAATTATCTGTTCTGTGTAGGTTCTGTTACCACCCTCATAGGGTGGCCAGGTGTCCAGTTTTCAAACGGAAAGTCCAGTCACATCTGCTGGCCAGACACGCAAAGTCCGGTTACTGCAGGCAGGGAGGTCCCAGGTCATCACTCAGGCCGGGCTGCCTCCTACCTGTGTTGGGCAGCTGCAGCTCCCAGCCCTGACTCTGCAGACGAGTCTGTCCCAACCTGGGCGGGCAGGGGGAGAGGGAGGGGAAAACCAGCGAATGACGAGAGGAGGGAGGAAGAGGAGCGAACAGGGGGCAGGGCCTTCAGGGGTGGGGTGGGGCCTTCGGGGAAGAGGTACCGCAGGAGCGGGGTCTCGGGGCGGGGAAGAGGTGGGTCAGGGAAGGTTCCAGCACTCCTGCAGGAGTGTCTGGTTTTAAATATACAAAGTTGGCACAGTAGCATCTGACAGCCGTCCAGTAGTGTATTAAGTGATCTTACTAATGTTGGTCAGGTATGGACAGGAAAAAGGAGCCACTCTTTCTGAGTTGTACCCGTTCTCCATGCCACTCGTGTCCCTCTCCCTGTAGCATCACATCCTGCCAAGAACAGGTCTCTCTTAATAAGTGAAGGGGCAGATATGGCTGTGAGTGTCCCACTTTCAGATCTTTCATTGAAGGCACTAAATCTCTTTCTGGTGTTCCCATTTTGAATCCAGTAATTGTTTAGTAATGTGATACACTATTGTAGTTAAATACTTTGATTTTTGCTCATCTCAGGCCATGGGGAAGGGTAAATTGCATTCCCTTTCACACGCAGGAGCAGCCGTGCCAACAGAGGCATTCATCCCAGGGGGAGTTGGCAGTATTGCTGCTATCCTTCCCTGCGGGTTCTGCCAAAGAGAACAACTTTAAGTTCTAGAGCCCAGTCTTCGGAAGGATGTTGAGAAGATGCACTGATTTAGTGCATCTCTTAGGTGTCCTGACCTTGCCCTTTTCTAGCTGTCTCCACTGTGACAAAGTTCCTCCTCTGCGTTGGTGGGTTCTGCGCTTTCTGGCGGATTTGTTCGCCTCAGAGGTTTACAGCAGTCCTCAGTTTGGCACCTTTTGTTAGTGGCACAAACCTGCCGTTCATTCAGCTAACCTCATCACTGGCCAGCATGGGGAAGAAGAGGAGAACAGTCCCTGCAGTCTCTGCTGGGCCACCTAAGGGGTCAGGGGACAGGCCAGAGACCTTCTCCTCCGGTGGGACTCACAGTCCAGATCAACTCCTCTTATATCAAATAGGGAGTTGGGGGGAATGAGGGGAACCTGGGCCCCCCCACTCTGGGTTCCAGCCCAGGGCCCGATTGCAGCTGTCTATCGTGTCCCCTGCAACAGCTGTGTGACGCTACAACTCCTTGGACTACTTCCCCATGGCCTCCTCCCAACCCTTCTTTGTCCTCACCACCAGACCTTCCTCCTAAAGTCTGATAACGCTACTACTTCTCAGTCCTCCAGCAGCACACCCTCTCACTCTCAGCTCCTTGCGGGCCCCTCACTGACTGAAGTGAGGTCCTTTTTAAATCAGGTGTCCTAATTACCCTGTCTACCTTAATTCGTTTCAGCAAGTTTCTGATTGTTCTAGAACTGCCCCTGTTACCTTACCCAAGGGAAAGGGATCTACTTAACCTGGGGCTAATATATCTGCCTTCTATCACTCTCCTGTAGCCATCTGGCCTGACCCTGTCACACCACCTACTTTCTGGACTAAACTAGCTAGCCAGCTCTATGCCTCCAAGTAGAACTGGAAGTGTGGGTGGCTTGTTCCCACTGTGAGTAGTCTTTCTGCTACCATGCGTCCATAGCCCTGTTTCTTCTGGCAGAAGCTAGAGGAATCCAAAGAGTTAAGTCGGCCTAGTAGTCTTCTGCTATCTTCTACTTTGTTGCTAAAAGAGCACATTACTAAACAGAAGATTAGTGAAGTACTAAAGAACATCAGTCTAAGTATTTTGAATGTAAAGAAGAATACAATCAATATAAAATGCTTAATTTAAATATTGGAAAACTAGAAAGTAAATATTATAGATCAATTGGATTAAATGAGAACATGCAATCCAGGCCTGAAGGGGGAAAAAAGAAATTATCCACAAGCTATTTTTTGCAGGGGAAACTTCTCACTCACCTCCTCCTGTCCCCAAAAATCCACTTTCTAAACACTGGTTTGATACAGACCAATTAAACTGCTTATCAGTTAAAGAAACATACCTGTTACAATAGTAATTCTTAATGTATTTATTTGTCTCTTGCATATCACTTTGCTTCTGGATCACTGGAATGTGTGTTTACTTATGTTGGGAGTACAGCTTTCTTAGAAATCCTTGATGTTTAGTTAATGTACATATTTTTGTTCCTTGAATCCAGTTCATAATTCCAACTTCTGTATTTGGAAATGACAGAAAAAATATGGCATTATTGATGACCTTGAACAATAACCATCATAATCTTGCATACAACATTGGTCCCCTTCTCCCTGCATTTGTAGCTTCACCATAATGTGACTTTAACAAATTTGTTTCAAGCCCTGTATGGTTATGAAATAGTAATTAAGTTCCAATATCTCACCAGTTGAATTCCAATCTGAGTTTTCATGTGAGAACTGCTATAGGAAGAAAACATGGGCCTAATGTTGCCTCAGTGAAATTAATGGCAAAACTCTCATTAACTTTTTAATAGGTCAGGATTGGACCCTGCTACATGCACCATGCCATCTGAATGCTTGATTTGCAGCTTTCAAAAGGCATGAAGCATTCAGGCCTGTTTAGTCTGTGAGAGAATTATTACCAAAATCATATTGTTACTATAGTGGTGGGGATTAAATAGGAGATGCAATATGATAATCAGAATGATCTGATTTTAAAATGTCATTTAATTTATTGAAATAATTCTTTCACTCTTCTTGTGTAACTGAAAGATGAGTATGAAATCTCTCTCATTACACAAAACAACTAAAAGTTAATATTTGTGCTTCAGTTACAGTTTTGTCTCTTAAGAAGTGGTTCCTATATCCCTATCCAAGAGAAGCTACATAAATTCAAGGAAGTGAAGTAAAGAAGATATTGGGCTTAATTCTCTTTTGTTTTTAAGTCTAATATTTCATTCACTTTGTTGGTTCATTGTATCTCCTCTCAAATCATGCCAATCAGAAATGCTTATGATAGTATCAGAATAGACTCATGTCATCTCAAATTTTGCTGGGAGAGAGAATTAAAGCAGAGACTCATATTTACTCCTTTTTTTGCAGTCATTGCAGGTAGTGTTGGATGTCAACTTTGTAAATGAGGAAAACATTACTTGAATAATATATGTCACCCATGCTTTTAAGTCCAATAATGTGTGACCTCCCAGGCTAATTTGAATGTCTGAGTTGCTCTTTAAAGATCACATATTTGTAGAAGTTTATACCACATGATGACTGTGGCTGTTTGCAGTCTCTCTGTACTTTTCTGAGGGAAAATGTACATAATATGATTGAAATATCACCAAAATATTTGTTGACAA